CACTATTTTATATTATTTTTTAAAGTCATTGAAGCCGGTCAGAGCAGCACGCTCCGTTTTGTGTAACTATTTTTAAATCCCTGTAGAACCTGAACCGTGTAAGCTAGCGCAATAATTTTTTTTGCATATGAAACCGGAGGAGTTGTACTTACATCTGATGCCATCAGCTTGTCCTCGGTCACGGTTTCCTTCCACATAAAGCTTTGCAAAAACTGCATAAAAAGCTCTTGCAGGAACAAAAACGTAATATTCCAGAAACACGCTTTGCCGATCCGATCAGCTGTTCGTAACACTTCCCACAGTGAATCAGACCGCGAACTATCACATGTCGGCCATTTCCTCCCTGAAACCGGAAGTGGCGTCATTTTCGCGGAAATGTAGTTTTTTACTTGTAGGCCTTAAAAGCCTATACTGGTCATGTTTGACTTTTCTGAATAGTTTCTGGGATGCTTAGAACTCGAATTGCACTGCTGGAAATCGTTTATTTTGATGCACCTTCTGTTTTCTTTGCAAATTTGCATCATAGGATTGTTTTTTGTTTTTCCTGCAGTATATAAAAATTGGTGTATCTCCAAAATAAAACTATGAAGACACTCAAAATAAATTTCCTGTTGTTGTAAACTATTTTTTGCAACTTTATTGTATTTAAAGTTTTGAGGGATAAACCTCTTAAATTTCTCCAAGTAGAAATATATGTAAAAAAACAAAACCAATTTTCAATTTTTTTGTAGTTTATTGCAACTTTTTTGCAATTTATGTAATTACTATGGACTTAATGCATACATATTATTACAATATGGGCTATAACAGTTGTATAGCAACTTGAAATGCTCCCACAAATGGCACTACAACATGTAAAAAAATAATATAAGCTCTGGCGGACTTGGTTCTATGGTAGGTCTTAAAGGGTTAAATAAATATCGTCAAATAATCGAGATCTCAATTTCAGTGAAAATAATCGTGATTATCATTTTTGCCATAATCGAGCAGCCCTAGTTGCAGGTCACGAGTCTGCAGTGAAAGTAAAGGTGGGAATCCTTTTTTCGACAGTTATGTTGAAGAGGAGACCGAATAGCTGGGAGTCGTGGAAGACGATGCATTTGGCTCTACGGCTTGTGGTCGCCTCCTCAACCACTGAGGTAAAGCAGCACCCATTACTGCAATTTTAAACACTTTGCAATATGTTTAATATTAACAAATAGATACAATGTTATCTTTTTGTCCCCAACATCTTTTAAATTAATAAAACTTCTAAGTCTGTTACCATTTTATTTTTATTGGTGCAAAATGGGCTCATATGAGTCACACAGTTTGTTTTGGGTAGTCTGTGTCGGGGTTGTGGTGACGGACGACGATGTCAGGGATGGCAACAGCTGGGCGATCACGGCAATTTTGATCCCATTTCCCCAGTGATGCACTGAAAAAATGTGTCATTATGCCGAGATTCATTATTAATTAAATGTGCAAAGCCATAGCTTGATGTTGTACCTCCACATGCAACAAACACCTGTAACAGCGACACACGTGGACACACACGGGCGCGCACAGAGGCTCGCGGCTGGACTACATTTGTGCGTCACGCGGCTACACCGATCGCTCACAGTCATCATCAGATGAGAGGAAACAGAAAGAGGATATTTCTCACTTTAGGGTGGATGTTAAAAATAAAAACAGAGCATAATGTCACCACATTTGGGAAAAGGCTCTTTTATCACGTCTCCCACCCGGTGCTTCAGTCGATGACGAGCGAAGGGGAAGGTGTGCACAGGAGAGACGGGTGAGGTGCTTTACAAAGAAGAAAATTAACTCGTCAAAATAGAACAACTTCAGATCCAAGTACAAACTTAAAGGACTGGTAAATGTTTTTACATTTTTACTTAGTGCTACTGCACATCATCATCATCATCATCATCTGGGTCCACAGTGACTACAATGTAACCACAGACAGCAGTGTAATCATAAATAGGCTATTTTTGCAATTAGTTCATAATATTACTACAGCAGGTATCAATAAAAAAGCAGCCTGACTTTGAATGTCGCGCTATTGTTGTCATTTAAATAACTGAAACTAAGTTTTGAGCTCTTCTAAATTTTGGCCCAAAGATTTTTAACTGTAAATGTTTCCAAATATTGACTTTTAGTGTCCCCAATTACTGATAATCAGCAACATCAGTGTTGTTGTCTAAAAAATAAAATAAAATAAAACATACTGGTCAACTCTCACAGCACGCTCACATCATTCACATTATTCCAGCTTGAGGACAAGCTGCAGGACATGAAGATAAAGTGGCAGCTGTGCAAGGCATTATGGGTAACGCCGGTGAGGGACAGAATGTCTCGGGTATAAAGGTGACACACAGCCACCACGAGCTAGCAGGGGGACTGCAAAGGAGAGAGGAAAGTAGAGCGAGAGACAGACGGGGAGCAGACAGACAGCTCATTGGAGGAGGTGTGATATGGGCTGCCCGATAATGACACCGTTGCCAAACACAACTGACAAGACACATGGAGAGTGGAAGAGGGAACGGGAAGACGGGATAAAGATAGGGTGGGGGGCAGTGGGGGACAAGCAGCAGAGAAGAGAGGGCCGACGTGACAGCCCAGCAGTGCCGACGGCTGCCACAGAAAGGCCAGCAGCAGCAGAGAGGTGATGTCTCACATGGAGAGAGACTGAGAGGCACGCAGACGCCGGGAAAGAGAAACTCGGGGCACAGACGTACGAGGAAGGCTAAAGTTGAAAGCTCGTCACTCTGCTCTGGCATGCTATCCTGCAGTGAACAGCTTTTTAGACAGCAGAGGTTTTCAAAAATAGACTCCAGAGTTAATAATCAGTGGGTGCACGTCTCTTTGTTGTGGATGTGGAGACTTAACAGTAACACCAGAAAAATCAAAGGCAAAAAAGGAAGAAAGAGAAAATGACCTGCGACGCGGACACCAGTGAAAAAGTAGAAGAAGACCAGTTCACAATTATAAAACCAAAACTCTTCATCTTGTTAACATAATATAAAAATGAAAAGTGCATATATTAAAATAACTAAGTTATCAGCTAAGCCCTCCAGATGTTTAATCCAAGACTCCATGAATACACTTTCTTTCTCACCACTGTCCAGATGTTGGCTGTGATGCAGAGCTTTGTCATCAGTAATGTCAGTTTAATCTCAAAACAGGATAAACAGGAAGAAATACGGTCTCGAGAGATCTCGACCAAAATACTATCAGACTGTGCTGAGGACAACGTCATTTTCACATGAAAACAGTGTTTACAAAATATGTGGAATTAGCTCGGCTGTAGTCCAAAACAGACAGAGACGGATATACGATAAGACAGCCAGGAACACAAGAAGAGACAGACACGGCAACTAGCAGCCCTGCGGTGAGGGGGGGGGAGCGACTCCCACTCTCACCAGTCACCAGCCCCCTTGAGAAAGCACCATGCAATATTCATCCTCAGCCAGTCAGCCAGCGAGCCAGGCAGGCAGTCAAACCGGCAGGATTCACCCCAAAGGTGCTTCTTCTTCTCCTTCCACACCACCTTGTCTCAGCGCTTACAGACAGATCTGTGTCTGTCAAACTCTGCAGTGATGATCAAACTCCGGGGGGATGGTGGTGGAGGGTGGGGGGGTCCCCACTAACCCTCCCACTCACTCAAGAGCAAATGCACCATTAAAAATGCACATCTTACCAGCTCATCTCGTTTAACTAATGCATATGCATCATACCTCCGGGACCAAGAGAAATTATATTGCAAGTGATACAGAATATCCTTCATCACATATACAATTCAGATTTCTCCAGGAAGAGGCTGGTAGGGTTTTTTTCTCCCTTTGCTGCCGAGTAGACTGAACCTTAGGAAAACTGTGAAACGGATACAGGACTTGTTGAAAGACACCCATCTGGATGCTGGTTAGACAGTCATCTGCATAATCTGACTCCATCTTCCGCTGAATGTGGAATCGGTTCAAACATGTTCTGTGAGACTGAAAAAATGATGCAATATGGAAAGTTCACCGTGCTCCCGAGTACCTAAGCGAAAGAGGTGAGCCTAGAATTAACACTGATGTAAACTGCTGGAAATAGATGGAACAACACAGAGCGAGAGAGAAAGAGATCATTAAGACTGAACAACAACACGTAACGAACTGCTGGGAGATCAGCTGGAGATCTACTGTATGTGTGCGTGGGGGGACAGTTGCCTAAGTCAAATTAATTATTAGCGCTTTTATCTGACTTTCTTCTGTGTGCAACCCAATTATCCTTAATTTTGCAATTACAAATCTCAGAATAATCAAGCCCCTTGGCAGTTCCAGTGTTAATGTTGCCGTGCCCTTGCATACGCATTGAAAAAATAAACAGATAAAATAATGAAACAAAAACAACAACGAGTACGGAGCCTATTTTTAGTGCTTCTTTCTCAAAAAGATTCCACGTTTACTCAGGGGCATATGGATGATCTTCTTTGTTTAAAGTCTATTCAATACTTATGGAGGCAAAAACATCCTTCTGTAAAGAAATCAATGCGCCTGAAGTTGGAAGACGATATTAAAATCCAACAGCGGCCTGATCTGCACAGAGCAAACTTGAGTTGTATCGAACCGAAAGAGGCTTGCGAGGAGGCCGGGCTCCGCCAGCCTCCAGATCTCTGATCAATAGTAACAACTCAACATTCATCCACTGTCTGTCTTACACAGGCTACAGAGGTCTGAATGAAGATCAGGCTGAAAGATACATCTTGATTGATGCAGAGAGAAGAGATGAGCAGGAAATATTTACAGTTTAAAACAGGAATTAGGAGGAATACAACAGATGAAGGAATTTCCCATCATTCTTCAATCTATAATCAAACTAAATGGCATTGAACACATCTGTTAAATAAAGGCTAAGACAGGTGCTGACCACAGGATGCCGAGGCTGAGTAATTCCATTTTTATCTTAGTCTGCATCCTACTTCAGATCCTAAGTCCTTCTGACTGGTGTTGCAGTGTGCATCTGTGTGGGGTTACCTGGGGTTGAAACACTGGCACAGCTGCTTGCTGTCCTTGTGGCTGCGTGTCCATATCCATGGTGTTAGGAGCTTGATCCCGTACACCTCTGCGAATCACACAAACAAAACAGGACTCACGGTTAGACGATGCAACGCTGATCATCAGGTGAAACAAAAGTCGATCATTTCCCTTCAACAGTACGATTAAATTGTATTCAAATGTGGAGCAATGTTCGTTCTGCAGCATCAAACTAAGGAGTGACGGTTGCCCCGGTGTTGAGTTTCAGCAGCTGAAACCTAGGTCACGTCTTTGGATATGATACTCTTTGTCTGGGTCCCTCTCGAGTTGCGCCGTGGCCGAGCTTCGGCAGAGATAAAGCTGCTTGGCATTCTCCCAAGGAACCTTTCCTGGGAATTGCAGGTTACACCAGTTACTGGTTTAAGCAATTCCACTTTATTTTTTCTTTTCCGAGAAAATATAAGTCACCTCAGGGTGAGGAGGTGCAGTATGTATATATGCCATGTTTTTCTTTAATTGCACGTCCTGGCATGTGGCTTAGAAGGAAGCTACTTGCCTGAGCAGCACAACAAGTTGCTTGCCTCATCGTCACAGACAATGCAATAATAGAAAAAAAAATCACCTGAATGAATAATTTACAGCTTTAAAAATTACGATGCACAATTATATTCACACTTGAAATTAGCTTATGATTCCAGTCTACACTCACCGTTTCTAAATTAACACAGAATTACTTGTGATTTACACGAGATACCCGCCTGTTTAACACAAACCGTGTGCCATCCACGAGGCAACACATGAGGTGAGATATTTGTATGTTTTCAGCATCACAAAAACGTAGCCAAGGACAAGCGTGCACACACACGTGCACACACACGTGTACACACACGCAGACTGCTCGTTGATAGGAAGCAAATGACTAATGATTAGGAACAGAGGATAAAAGAAATACCAGGAATTACAACTCAACCATGGTTTTGTCTTCTTAGGGACTTATTCACAGGAATAGCACTCAAGCGGACACACACACACACATACACACACACACACACACACACACACACACACACACACACGTAAAAAGAAAAGTTCCACACAGGAGGGAAAGAAAGCACACTTCACAGTGGGCCATTTGCATGTTTTTCCTCCAAAGCCGGTTTGCAGATCTGTTGGTGTGTCACTCGTGTATTGGTCACAGTCTCTTGTCTCTGTTGCATTGAGCCTCCCTGGGCCAATTAAAATGTGCCGGTGTAATGTAGATGAGAATAACACTGAAAAGCAGTCTCTGTGTGTATATCAATCAATCATCTGATCAATCGAGCAATTATATAGCTATCTAACCATATAACTGATTAATAGGTTGACACACAGATTCTTTGGGCAGTTTAATATTTTTATGATGTGTGTCTATGCACTTTGAGCAAACACATCATTTGCAATTACTGCTGTGCTAAAATCACAGATTAGCTTTTTCTTGATGTTCGTGTAAGTTTGGAAGATCGCAAAATTATTTACTCAACCCCGTTTCCAATGGATTTACATCGGCTATGCTGGCAATACGACTCTCTTCACTTATGTAATGGATCATTTATTAATAAGGTTGACATTTTTAAATGCAGGACAGCGTTAAACGCTAAATGATCCTGACTCATTAATAAACCTGCTGGAGAAAAAGTATTTTTGAAAACAACCAGCTGTGGTGGTTTTTATAAACACCTGCAAAGGTTGTTTGACTGTTTGACCATCAACATTTCAAGCCACAAACGTGCAGCACCAATAAGTTAAACAGACAGACGCACTCAAGGTCGTTTGAAAAGTCAAAAGGAGGTGAAAATCACCCTGGAGGTCCTAACAGAGCGTTAACAAAGCAGAGAAAAGGCTACATTTACTCAGATACCCATGAACATCTGGACAGAGCCTCAGGCCGCACCAGTACATCAGCCCTACATCATATGTTGCTCTTTTTGATTGGTATCAGAATATTGACCCAGAACAAATACCAATATCAATATCCAACGGTTGTGCCATAGTAATTTTGCACAAGCAAAATGTTCGTAGTGTGAAGAGTTCCTGAAAGGCTGTTGATCTGTGCATCTATCACCCACACTTTAAAATCAGTATCAGTACATCATCACTCAAGAGCTTTTATCTATTACAGGATATTTTAATACCAGGTGAAGTCGGCCTCTTAGTTTGAACGAGCTGCGTGTCGTGACATTTGGATTTCGCGGTCACAGTGGACTTTCGAGTCACCCGCCCAGCTGGCCTTCGCGGCTGTTGCCGTGATTCTTTGCACTTCAGCCCCGCGCTGTGTTAGATTGAGGCTGGCACCCTTCCTTCGCTCCCTAACCATCTTGTGTTTCTAACCGCCTGAGTGTCAAAATAACCGCAGGGCATCAGAGGACGTTCTTTCGCCTCCTACATCCCACGTTAACAAGATCAATTAAGACTGCCACGTTAGATTAACACACACAAGGAAACAACACAATTAACAAATCTAACTCGATCAGGAGGCGTAAACAGGGGAAAATACGCAAACCGTAGCAGTGACTGCGCAAAAACACAACCGGCTTCATCACGCTGACCTTTCATCGCACATTCCTCTTAACTGTTCCTCTCGCTGTCTCGATATCCCCGAAAGGTTGCTCGCCACAGACAGGAATTCCTGACTTTCAAAACACATGGAAGCTCAATGTGCCACTCTTGCTTGCATTTCTGTCATGCGGGTGAGAAATGGTGGCTGCCTTTCTGGTAACAGCTAAAAGCTAAATCCTCTACCTATTCATAGATGTCAGAGTCACATTTGGACCTTTGGTGAGAGACAGCTGCAAATACACAACAGGACAGACAAGCAGAGCCATTTTATGCTAAATATGTAGACACACATACGACTGGCGTTTGCCTGGAATGAGAATTTTACTTTTATTATCGTTTCCTTATTTTTCACAGATCTTCCTTTTACACTGATATTCTGTCAGGCTGACTTTATTACAATTATTTCTGCACAAATATTTTCACCACTATAGATCGTCTATGAAATGTAAATGAACATGTTGTTTCCGAGACGCCGTGAGTCCATCCGAAAGACCGACGGTGTTTTCAGAGGAAACTGAAAACACCGTCTCCGTGCAGACCACCAACCACTCAATGAAAACAAACACTGTTTTCTGACTGCGTTCCATCTAATGTGAGACTCCAGCCCAGCATTCTCGCAGTGGGCCCATCACACCGAGGTAATTATATGAAAGAGGAGAAAAACCGAGCGAGGCGGACTGAACAGTTTTATTTGTTCTCACACTTCCAGCACACAACAGATTTGTTAATTTGCCTTTTTTTTTTTTTATTCCCATCTCAAATCTTGTTTTTGTTTTTTGCATTTTTAGCCCTGTTTCCTGCTTTTACACTGCTGTGAAATAGTCTTGAGCCACGCCTCGTTTCCTTATATTTAGCTTCTTTCATTCCTACGCTTGTCTTGAGCAATAGATTTCTAAATATCTTTCAAAGTTTTTCTCCGTCCTCTGGCTGGTTTTTAACAAATTTTCACTCATTAGCGAGGTTTCAGTGGAAAGGCGGCAGTCATGAAGCCATTCTTAAGGAAAGGAAACAAGAAAAAAGGGCAAAGCTTTGCTAAATTACAGAAGAACTGGACTGAAAATCAGGATTTCAGCCAGTGGTGTTGGGATCTTGTCAAAAATTTATGGAATTATCAACGCAGAAAGTACCAGATGGGATTATATGGTGGAAATTTTGATCCACCATGCAATGCCATCTGGCAGGTGTTTAATTGGGAAGGCTTCAGCATGACAATGATCCCAAACACGTTGGCAGTGCAGTAACACACACCTGTACAGGACAAAGAAAGAAGAAGCAAATAAACAAGCAGACAAACGGGAACACTATCAGTCATGGATTGACCTGGTGGCATCAACACAGCTCCAAGAAGAAGGGCGTTCATTTCAGGAGAAAAACAATGAATCCACTCAGTTTTTTAAAGCTTTGGACTCTTTGTGTAAACGAACATGGCTGAATTTTGGAGCTTGAAGAATGGTCAGTATGGAAGCTCAGAGGGGGCAGAGATCTGCCCCAGCCTACTTTTAACCTGTCTACGAACACAGTTCACCGATGATGGAATGAGGCTACAATACCTGCTGTTAACATTAGATTACTGCTTATACTTAAAGAGTGATTGTGTTGTTGTAAGTCATGTGCATGCAGAGCACTTTGTGTCCACTCTCAGCAGATATGCAGACAATGCAGTTTCCATGACAAACAAAAGGAATAGCTGCTCTGAAGCAGACACGTCATACTAGTCAGGGCAGGCCTTGGACCGCCACATGTTTGCACATTTATCTTCATTTTTATTTGGTATTTAAGAATTTTGTGTTACATTGTTTGGAAAAAAGATCTGTTAAAGCTTAAAAATTATTTGAAAAGTTTTGTAATTTTACAAATTTTTAAGAAAAGTTTTGCACAGTAAATGTTCTTAAAATGGCATGCTATACTGCTCAGTCATTTTGCATGTATATACAGAAGAAAAGAATATATTGCGATGCATATCGTTACTGCACATGCTTCAAATTATACCACAATATGGGTTTTAGGCCATATCGCTCAGCCCTAGTTTGATCGTCTCGAAGAATTGTGCAAAACTGTGCAAAAAGAAGTTCCTGTTTGAACAGTGAACCATGTAAACCTTTTACCAAAAGGCTGAGAGAAAACTTCTGTAACATAGTTGACAACAACTTTCCCAACCTTGATAAGAAAAAGCACATCTTCATTCAAATGGGAAGAAGCTGAGTGTAAGTTGGAAAACTGAGTAGGGATAAAGCCGGGATTGTGCAGGAAAGAGAGGGACAGATGCAAAACTATGAAAACTGCCAGCAGACAGAAAAAAGCAGCTTGTTAGCCCTGATGTGCTCGTGGTCCTGAAAGAGTCGGTGTGTGCCACAGACACTGGCACTGGCTTCAGCTCCTCTTTAATCCTCATTTCCTCCTTTCTGCATAAATCATTTAAAACAGGAGAACAGCAAAAACAAAGAGAGCTAAAGGGAGGGAGATGATTATAAAAAGGTGGATCAAGGCAAACTG